ATTCACAGATTTGAGATGTTTCCTAATTTTTTCAAGTTGTCACTCTCAACGTCACCTTTTTTAACAGAAGAACAACCAAACTGTATGTTCTAAGTCCATAACAATGCATAAACCACATCAGGAGACCACTTTTGAGGTCTGGGAAAAAGCTAAGAAATGTTGATTTTTTAGTGTAGTTACCCTTTAATTCAAGTGTGCAGGCACCTAGCACTGTTGTTTGGTTAGCAGTGTTTCTGTAGCATGTGAGTTGGCGTTTGCAAAATAAATGGCTACTGGATTGATGCAAATAATCATGATATCATTCTGACAGGTAGGCTACTTTGTAGCTACTGTGGTTAACATTTAATAGAGATGGTTTTTGAGAAAGCCTTTGGCCCAGTGGCGACCCATCATTCAGGGCAGGTGGGGTAGAGCCTGTGTTGCCTGTTTTGCATGTTATTTTGGCAATAATATGTGTTACATATCAGTTTGCAAACAATGTAAAAAATAATAATTATTGAGTTAATAAAGCCGCATACAAACTCTTTTTTGCTTTGAGTAAGGCAGCTCCAAAATGCAGGTGTTTCAGCCTAGCTCAGTGCTTTCTGTTGTGATGGGGCAGCCAGCGGAAAATACAGAGCGTAGGGGTTGGTAATGTTCTCTAGTTGCGCCGTGATTGGCTCAGTATTCTGTCACTCATGGGGACACTACGTCACTGCAAAATCTACGGGGAGAGCTTGAAAATTCAAGCCCCTTGGGTGCTGCCATAGAGTTACATTAGGAGTGCCCATCCAAGAAGACTAAATGTCATTGGCCACAGATAAAATGACGTCAAATCACGTTATATCTACCGTAGCTTTGATTGGACTGATCACGTCAACATCATACTTTCAAAATCTTAGCTACACAAGCAGTCATCACCATGAATCACGTCAACAATCTCCTGGCAAATCCTTTTCAATCCTTGTCATATGAAGAGAAATTATAGATAACACTTATCGGTGCTCATCGGCCATTGGACATAAATATTACACAACAAGTTGAAAATCGCAAATTCAACAATGACTGGTTTGGAAGGAATCAGTGCCTAACTGCAAGCGTTGTAAAGCAATCACTAGCCTGCTATTCAGTGGAGTGGGTGTGTGGTCCAAGTCTGGGTTTAAGGGTCTCTTTTCCAAACATTCAACACCATGGGCAGAAAAGTTTGAATGCATTGGCCATGCTTTCAATCCAGCATGACTTCTGCCACGTTCAAAACAACTGGAAACTCGGAACTGGGAAATCTCAGACTTCAGTCAGTTCATGATAACTGGGAACTCGATAAAAAAAACTAGCTCCAACTGGGAAAATACGTTTTGAATTGTCATCCAACTCGGAATTCCAAGTCGGGAACTCAGGCCTCTTTCTAGAGCTCTGACCTGAACATCACTGACTTCATGATTCAACTTTGTTTTTTTTCAGAGTTCCCAGTTGTCTTGAAAGCACCATAAATCCAGGGAATGCCAGACTTTGATGACAAAGTTTGATGCCAAAATTTGCCCACAAGGACCGCCACACCACCTTCCTGTTCAAGTGAGCACAGCACAACAAGGTGAGTCCAAAAATGTATTGTATGCTGCTGCATAAATTATGTAATATGCCAGGGAGATATGTATACTGTAGCTAAGAAAGTAATACTAAGTGTATGTTGTGTAGTAAGCTGTTAGTAGCCCATGTGCCTCACCCTAATAATTTGGTCCCTTTCCCCCTCTTAACTTAGCCTACTGTTCTGACTTGGTGGTGCACATGTAGCCTATAGCCTGTTTCAGAGAAATGTCATCATTGAATATTGTAGGAGCTTTCATTGTCTGCTTATATGCCCCCTTTATTTATCCTATGGTTATGACTTGGTGTACAGGGAGAATACTGTAAGAACGGCCCATGTTATGAATTCTGTTGCTGTACATTTCAAAAGTGCTCAACAAATAGTTATATTGACTACGTCCGTCCTAGCTCGCTCATTAATGTCTTAATCGAAATTACGGATTGCCTCTTATCCGCTTGTCGTCCCCTTATGCCATAGTTTGTACATCTCAATTGTTAGTACTAACCACATTTGTTTAAGCAAGTCAGCCATATCAGCAATGTTTTTTTTTAAAGGCAGTAAATGAGGCTGAATGAACTGTTTCGCTGCCAGACAAGGCTCTGCTGATAGCCAGGTGTCGCAGTGGTAAGGATTCACTCCATGGTGCTGAAAAGAAAGCTCTGCTGTTGGGACAGCTTTATGTAGGCCCTAACAGTTTGTGTGCACCGTTTGTCACCATTATAGTGCAATTAATGTATTGTTTAGTGTTGTGTTGTGTTGTGTAGTGGCTTTGCTGGCATGCATCAAAACATATTTTTTGGTTTGCTCCACCAAGATTTACATGCTAAAATCGCCACTGCTTAGGCCTATCATTAGCATCCCTATGTTTTTTCTATTCCTTCATTGTTTGAAACCTGGACGTTTTACTTCATATTATGAGGCACGTCTTACCTTACTTGAATGTAGCCTATCACCAAAATCCCACCATAGAAACGTGGAGGCAATTATATTCATAAAGACTTACTCATATGCTTTCTCCTGTTCCATTTTTTCCCCCATTTTTTTCCTCCTTTCATTGTAGCAGCCAAAGGCAATATCCTAGACATATTAGCAACCCATGATAGTTGTTGCATATTTAAATCCCGACTCTTTCTAACGAATATTTACATCTCTGTCCATGAAACCACTGGCATGTGCAGTGCACATTTCAGAACGGCGTTTTCCCGCAAATTGCATTTTGGAACCTTCACGCCGGCCTACCGCCGTCTGTACATTGCTGCGCCTAAAATGTGAAGAAATAATAGTTTATCAACATTTTAAGCTAAACATTCGGATCTGTTCCATCAGCCTTATTAATTGAAAAGGTGTATACCTCCACTACACTACTTTGGTACATATCAGTGGGGGTTAAGAAGTGAATATACAATGCCCAAGGAAAAATAAGTGGGTGTATGTCGTACACCTGCGTATACCCTCCACTACACCACTGGTGTATGCAACTAATAAACTTTGTTTTGACATGTTATTATTTCTATTCACTAATTGTACACCATCATATTTAGAACCCTACCAAAAAGGAATACTTGCGCAATTAGGCACAAAACATAATTGCTTAAATTGGATGCGCCGTGGCCATATATTCAATTTTCGAAAGTATCGAATTTTATGCGTATCATTTGATTTAGGTGTCTGTGAAAATTTACAGCTGGAGTGCTCCTAGGCAACGCTCTCTGCTGAGCCTATCAAATTCTTGATCTTGCAGGCAGCCGCGAACAACATCCCGCAGCAGCGCCTTCCCCCGTCGCTTGCGCGCCACGTGTCGCGGGGTTCTGCAGCAGCTGGAGATCACTCCGCACACCAGACAACCAGAGGAGCCCGCTGAGGAGCGCGCACGCTCCGGGCTGACAGAGAGAGCAGAGCACACACAAACCCTGCCTGTCTGTCGTTAACAGCTGTATGCTATTATTATTGCATGAGGCACAGAACATAATTATTGTGTAAATGTTGAAAATATTGACTTTATGATTTTTAGACACTGATATAATAAAACATTTTGGACTTCTAAACTTTTCTTTTCAAAACTTCAGTAGGCTATAGCCGGCTTCGCGCACACTTTTCTTGACATCCCATGACTGGATAAAGTGTAGGCTATATTCACTTCAAATAGCCTAACTATGTTTGTATAATGGTCAGCCTGTATTTAAAGTGTAATAACTTGGGAATTACTAAATGTATGTGTTAATACTATCTGTGTGGGGGCAATTATCCTAACCATTAAAATTACAGCTCGAGCTTGCGTCTGTCTCTCTGATAAGGATAAGGACATGTAATTATGACCTGAAATTCAATGAGTAGCCTAACTGCTGTCCGACCAAAGGCAATGCAGGCAAGGCATTGCTCTAATCGTGTGCTCTCACTCAGAAATATCTCTGCTCTGGCTCGCATTCCGATAAGCCCGATCGAGCTCTCGGTAGGCGTGGTTTTCCCAGGCTTTTAAAACAGCAGCTGCTATTTACCTTCCCTGTAATGTAAACCACCACCGCCACCCCTAGCCCGGCAGCCAAACCTCAACCACTGCGCTCATAAAACATCCTGGCACGTGCTCCACATTCACAATAGCGCTCGCATGCCGACAGATGTCAAAATGCCAAATTTGTACAGCGTTGGGGCGCATTAAAGAAATACTGCTCCAATCTTGACAGGTTAGAGTTGAGTTGATTTTTGAACTCACACAGTGTAAACTTGATCAAGGTTGTAGTTCTCAGCCTTACTGCAACACAGGGAAATCTAAGAGGAGAAGCCAGGTTCTTTCCCCAAGTTTACTTCAAATCATATAAACTGTAAGAATACATGGTTATTACATTATAGCCTAACAAGCCTACTTAATTAGGCCTACACTGTAATTAAGAACACTACATTTAGTTTCTTGAACCATTGCATAAATTATGTAGGGTATGCTATTTCCATTTTCTGTGAAAATGCACATTTACTGGCTTTTAGTCCACAAGTATGTGGAAGTATAATACAAGTAGGCTATGTGGAAAAGTGCATTGTTTGTATAGTACTATTGGGTGCTATAGCCACTATTTTCTTGTGTAGAATTTTCCCCTCCTGTGCGTATTGCCTGAAAGTTGGGGATCAGCATGCCAAGTCAAGTCAGCCCTGCACTCTGTGCTGGTAGTCAGGGGCTCAAGTGTTAATATGTAAACGGAATGATTGAAGGCAGTCCCGGTTGTGCCCTAAACCCGGCCGCGCGCCATTGGCCGCCCGCTCAAACGCCAAACAACCAATGGAAGAGCGCCTACCACGAGCCATCCTCCCCTCGGGCCGCGTGTCCCTCACGCTGATTGGTAGAAAGTTACTGTGGGAAAGAAAGTTTGGGAAGTTTCACACGAGCCGTTCGCGTGCAGTCCCAGATATAAATAAGACCAACACGAAGTGCCTTTACATTCTAGACAGACGCAGCGTCCGTTGGCAGACAGTGATCTTTCGACTCCGTGACATAATTCAGCCTGCCGCTCACTTGGGGACACTTGTCTCTCGCGCATAGGTGCACTACCACACAGAAAGGATTTTGTTCCTCCGGAATTTGGAATTTTATAAGAGGGTACTGTGAAGAAGTGCCGACTGCTTGTCAATACCCACCAACAGTGGACTGTAATACCGAGTTGCCGTTGCACGTGTGGGAGGGATATTTCAGACGGACAGAAGATGCCTGCCGATATGATGGAAAAAAACTCATCCTCTCCGGTTGCTGCTACCCCAGCCAGCATGAACACGACACCTGATAAACCCAAGACGGCTTCCGAGCACAGGAAGGTTAGTAGTCGGTCAAAGCATTTGACCAATGCCGATATTCTCTCCGTCACTCCAAAATTACGCACGGGCTGGTATAGCGAAACATGAACCATTCATCTACCTTGAGCAAGTCCCACCATTCTAACAATTTCTTTTATTTATTTTCTTTAGTCATCCAAACCTATCATGGAGAAGAGGAGAAGAGCCAGAATCAACGAAAGCTTGGGACAGTTGAAAACACTTATCCTGGATGCGCTCAAAAAAGATGTAAGTGTTCTGTTATTACTCTCATAACAAATTAATTATTACCATCACAATAATATATTAACTTTATTGAAAACATTAACGCCTAATGCAATTTACATAAGACAATCTTCAATCCTAATAATGTGTCTCTTCATATTACAGAGCTCTAGACACTCAAAACTTGAAAAGGCAGACATCCTGGAGATGACGGTGAAACATCTCCGGAACCTCCAGAGAGCTCAAATGACTGGTAAGTGGCTGTAGCTGCTCGGTGAATACCCGGGATGATTTCTTCCAGACTTCCGTCTGCGGATTAGATAATGATAAGAACGCGGTAGTCAGGTTACAGACTTGGCCCACATCCTCTCTCCCATATTGTCTCTGAATGTAGCAATTGTATAGACTACGATAGCACAGTAATAGCCAATTTAGGTGAGCCTTGGAATGTATATTTTTAGTTTGAGCAATGTTCATGTTTGGAACTTAAATTGTCATCATTATACTCGTTACTCTCAGTGGTTTATAATGTTCTCTCTTTCTCCCACAGCTGCTTTGAACACTGATCCCACCGTGCTGGGGAAATACAGAGCTGGATTCAGCGAGTGCACGAATGAAGTCACCCGGTTCCTGTCCACCTGCGAGGGGGTTAACACCGAGGTCAGGACGCGGCTTCTCGGTCACTTGGCCAGCTGCATGACGCAGATCAACGCTATGAACTACCCCACGCAGCACCAGATCTCAGCCGGGCCTCCCCACCCCTCCTTCGGCCAGTCCATGGTACAGATGCCCAACTCTTCTCCCCAAGGCAACGTGATGCCCCTGCCTTGTAAAGGTGGCTCTCCCCAGAGCATGTCACCAGAAGCCACTAAAGTATACGGCGGTTTCCAGCTCGTACCTGCCACAGACGGACAATTCGCCTTCCTCATCCCCAACGCAGCTTTTGCTCCCAACGGTCCGGTTATCCCCGTGTACGCGAACCAGGTCAACACGCCTGTTCCAGCGGCGGTGTCCCCTGGTGCACCAACAGGCAACTCGGACTCAGTGTGGCGACCCTGGTAGAGCAAAAAAAGGACCTATTGAATATAATTTTCTAATGACACTTAGTTCGATCTTTGTTCAATGTTACAAAACATTTGTTTGGATTTTGTTTTTGTACTTTCAATGCGTTAAGATGAAAAGATTATGCACTATATTTGTATAGCTTATGAGGGAGTGAAGTTCATATTGGAATGAGATTTGTATTGTTGAAGTCTGTTCACTGCATTTTATATTCGAGGTGTCTTTTTTACTGTGTGATGCCAAAGATATGTTGAATGCCCTTGACGTAATTCTTCGTTTTGGAAGACAAATAAATTTGTAAAGATATTGAAAAACATCTGCTATGATTTTCTCTTCAGAAACCTGATCACCAAATAATGGTTTACCTAATTCTTAACATTTGTTTTGAGCTGTATAGCGTATACACTTGAGAATAATATTTTATACATTTTATAAGAGAAAATGGCTGTCATATTCTACCCATAGGTTTGCGTAAAAGTCATATTTGATATTGAGTTGTGCATAATTGGCAGACGAAAATCATTGATATATTCTGCTACGCGCAAAACCCATGCACATTCAACCATATGTAAACTACACACATGCACTTGTTGCTCCAGGAATGGATCACAATTTAGTCTTATATTGCGTAAAAGTAGATAATTTTACGCACCAACACTTGCTTAGAAGTGTCATAGACTATGAAGTGGGGCATTTCATTTGATACACAAAGATAATGCGTAAAATGCCATCGCACAAAGACCGTTGCTTCTGGCTTCTTTCAATAAGAAACGAGCCTGATTTGAACCAGAGTCGGCCAGGTGTATCCGATTCCAGATGTTGCTCGGTGAGATGCGAGACTAGACAGGACAGGAGAGGTGAGGAGAGGGGGAAACAACACTGACTATTGTGTGAAATAATGAGAAAATATACCCTTTAGGCCTGAAGGGAATACCAGTTTGATAAAAATATATTCCTAGAAATTACTTTCAATAACATTTCTCACAGATCACATATATTCAAGATAATATGGAAGTTTTTGTCCTTGAATAATATTATTTGTAGGCTAACTTTTAATTAGTTACATCAACATCTCTCCCGCTGTTAATGTCATCAGTGGCTAATGAACCTTGAATAAAAATGTATTGTTATTTTAATTTGTGTATCACCAACGAATGTTATTTTATCCACATAATCAGATGAGACTATTGTTGACAATATGTCAAATATATGTGAGTCGAAATTTTGACACAAAATACTGTTTTGAAGAGGGACGGCTCATTTTAACTTTTGGTTCAAGGATTTTTAGAAGTCACGTGCGCCATCTAGCAACACAGGAAGGAAGTGCAACCTGATTGGGGTAGTATTGATCAATGGTTACTACCAGATATCAACCACGTAAATCCCTGTCATGCAAGTAAGTATATGGTCCTTGGTTGAAATGCAAGATATTAATTCATAGGCTATACTTATAATAGGGCTATATTATTATATTCCCAGGACAACGGAGAATTTATGGTACACCAGCATAGATGCATGGCAGAGACTTGATGGAAAAGATACCTGTACCTTTCTACGGTAAGTGCCTCACTCAGTGTGTTAAATGGAGAAGATTGAAACATCTGTAATGGCTTAAGGAGGACTTCATAACACAGAATATAAAAAGATGGCACGGTAGATTACATTTGTTTATCTATGATTTGATGTCAGTCGGCTGTACATGAAATTGACCAGTAACCTCTTATGTGATCCCTAAACAAGCTTACATTTCCCACAAAAGATGCAGATCGCAATATAGTCTACATTTTAAGCACTTCAAGTAGTGTTTTAAAAAGAACCTTCAGCAGAGGAATTGTAACTAGTGTCCTGTCCAGGGGGTGTACTAGTACATCAAGTTGCCTCACGCTACAGAATCAGGAGTTTGTCTCATGCCCAATGGGCCGTTCTGACACCACTTACTTTAAAGGCAATGTGGTGGAATGTACTCTGCATGTTGCTTTTACTTAGTCAGTGGCACATACACTACATGACCAAAAGTATGTGGACACCTGCTCGTCGAACATCTCATTCCAAAATCAGGGACATTAATATGGAGTTGGTCCCCTCTTTGCTGCTATAACAGCCTCCACTCTTCTGGAAAGGCTTTCCACTATATGTTGGAACATTGCTGCGGGGACTTGCTTCCATTCAGCCACAAGAGTATTAGTGAGATCGGGCACTGATGTTGGGCGAGTAGGCCTGGCTTGCAGTCTGCATTGCAATTTATCCCAAATGTTTTCGATGGGGTTGAGGTCAGGGCTCTGTGCCGGCCAGTCAAGTTCTTCCACACCGATCTCGACAAACCATTTCTGTATGGACCTCGCTTTGTGCTCGGGGGCATTGTCATGCTGAAAAAGGAAAGGGCCTTCCCCAAAATGTTGCCACAAAGTTGGAAGCACAGAATCTTCTAGAATGTCATTGTATGCTGTAGCATTAAGATATATCTTCACTGGAACTAAGGGGCCTAGCCCGAACCTTGAAAAACAGCCCCAGACCATTATAACTCCTCCACCAAAATGTACAGTTGGCACTATGCATTGGGGCAGATAGCGTTCTCCTGGCATCCGCCAAACCTTGATTCATCCATCGGACTGCCAGATGGTGAAGCGTCATTCATCACTCCAGAGAACGCATTTCCACTGCTCCAGAGTCCAATGGCAGTGAGCTTACACCACTCCAGCCGACGTTTTGCATTGCGCTTGGTGATCTTAGGCTGCTAGGACATTGAAACCCATTTCATGAAGCTCCCGACGAACAGTTCTTGTGATGACGTTGCTTCCAGAGGCAGTTTGGAACTCGGTAGAGAGTGTTGCAATAGAGGACAGATGGTCCCGTTCTGTGAGCTTGTGTGGCCTACCACTTCGCAGCTGAGCCGTTGTTGCTCCTAGACGTTTCCAATTCACAATAACAGCACTTACAGTTGACCGGGGCAGCACTCGCAGGGCAGAAATTTGACGAACTGACTTGTTGGAAAGGTTGCATTCTATGACGGTGTTACGTTGACAAATCACTGAGCTCTTCAGTAAGGCCATTCTACTGCCAATGTTTGTCTATGGAGATTGTATAGCTGTGTGCTCGATTTTATACACCTGTCAGCAACGGGTGTAGCTGAAATAGTCGAATCCACTAATTTGAAGGGGTGTCCACATACTTTTGTATACATAGTGTATCTCTGGGCAGAGAGTGCAGTGAGCAACCGCTGTACTGCTTCCTTTGTGTAATTGCTTACTTCTAAGGAACACCTTGATGCTAAGAAGTAATAGAGGGAAGACATGCTAAACACTGCTGCCACAGCGGTAGCGTTCTGCCCAGGTGTGTGCCGCCTCCAGCTATTCAAGTGTGGCCATTTCAAGGGGGAACCGCAGGTGTTTGCAATTACCAATCTGCTAAGAGGCAGAAAGTGTGGCTAAGTGCCATCATTTTGAATTTCCATCACACCTTTTACAGGGCCGGGGCTGCGCGATTAAAACCATGTGTTTGTTGGACGTTGGAAACAGGACAGGCCTGCGTGTCCAGAGGGGCCGAAGCGGGTGAGAGGTACGGGGAGTTTGGGGAGAGTCAGTCCCTGTGAGCCAGAGGTCCCACACACACACACACACACCGTTACACACAACGTTCCCACAACGTCCCATGTCCACAGCCCATTTCCTGTCCTAGCCCAGGGCCACAGCTGGATGTGGGCCGTCTGGGAGGCACGTGGTGCAACCCGGACGACACCCAGCTGCCCCCCCTCCCCTCCCTTCCTCTCCCTCCCCAATCATCATCAGCCCCCCCACACCCCCCCCCCCCCCCCCCCCCCAGATAACAGCTTTACGAGGCTCTCCGATTACCAAGTGCAGTGGCCGCACTGGCGGACTGACCGCACACATGTCACAACACGACCGGGGGTTAGCTGCCATGCGTGTCCATTAACTTTTCCCCACTCCACGAGCATGCAAAAAAAAAAAAAAAAAAAAAAATACCCTGCTTCCTCCTTGGCTCCTAAGTGCTACCATATGGTGTGATATCTCTCTCTCTCTCTCTCTCTCTTCTCTCTCTCTCTCTCTCTCTCTCTCTCTCTCTCTCTCTCTCTCTCTCTCTCTCTCTCTCTCTCTCTCTCTCTCTCTCTCTCTCTCTCTCTCTCTCTCTCTCTCTCTCTCTCTCTCTCTCTCTCTCTCTCTCTCATTCCCCTTTTCTCCCTCGGCCCGTCACTTGGGCTGTCTTTGATTGCAGCCCAGACAAGCAAGAGCTTTATGATTTAAGCCCAGGGCTTGCTGTACCAAGCCCTGGACTCATTTTGAAGCCAAACCCCCCCTCCACCTCCCCTCCTCACCCCTCCCTCCCCTCGCGCCCCTCCTGCAGTTGCAAGGGAAGGCTGTTTTCTGGCAGGAAATGAATAGCTCCCAGATGAGCGCAGGAACCTGAGAGGTCGTGAGAACGAGGCGAACCCCCCTCTGCAGCCGGCCTGTTGCCAGCCGCCGGGGGAATGTGGGAGAGCGCCTCTCTGACACACGCGTCAACCCTCCCTCCCCGCTCTCCCTCCCTGCTGCCTCTCTCCCTGCCTCACTGGCTGCCTGGCCTGGCCTGGAAACTGGCCTGACTGACAAGGCAGCAGCCCCGGAGTAGGGCAGAGCGGACAAGGGGAGGGAGGGAGGCAGGGTGATGGTAGGGTGGAGGGGGTTGGCAGGAAGTGCTGGATCTCTACTGCACCCAGTCCTAGTGTTCGCACGCATGCATGCACTCACTCACACACGCACACACATTTTTAACTGTAACAGACATGCAACGTGCAAAGGTTAGCACATGTACAGCAATTCTGAACTAACATGTGCTGGCTAATATACACACAGTACACCCCTCACATTTTTGTAAATATTTGAGTATATCTTTTCATGTGACAACACTGAAGAAATGACACTTTGCTACAATGTAAAGTAGTGAGTGTACAGCTTGTATAACAGTGTAAATTTGCTGTCCCCTCAAAATAACTCAACACACAGCCATTAATGTCTAAACCGCTGGCAACAAAAGTGAGTACACACCTAAGTGAAAATGTCCAAATTGGGCCCAATTAGCCATTTTCCCTCCCCGGTGTAATGTGACTCGTTAGTGTTACAAGGTCTCAGGTGTGAATGGGGAGCAGGTGTGTTCAATTTGGTGTCATCGCTCTCACGCTCCCTCATACTGGTCACTGGAAGTTCAACATGCCACCTCATGGCAAAGAACTCCCTGAGGATCAGAAAAAAATAATTGTTGCTCTACATAAAGATGGCCTGGGCTATAAGAAGATTGCCAAGATCCTGAAACTGAGCTGCAGCACGGTGGCCAAGACCATACAGCGGTTTAACAGGACAGGTTCCACTCAGAA